TGTTAATGAAGTTTTGTTTTTTATTAAATAAGAATTTGGTCAAATATATATTTTTCAAGCAACTCCTCTCAAAAGCTAAAATTACACCAAATCTTTTATTTTAAAATTAAACGGAAGTCGTTATTGATCAATGCACATAGACATGATCAAACATCAAAATTAAACGCCAGTGTTAAATGATATATCTATAATAAAATGTTAAAAAGTGAGAATGTATGAGTCACTCACTTTATAACATAAGGTCATTAGTTAAAAATTTCTTTGTATTATTTATACTAAAAATAACATACAAATATATTTAGATACATAAGGGGTATGAAGTTTTTGGCTTCCCACCTACCCCCCATTTCTTTCTTCAAAACTTATTTACATAAGAACGCATAAAAATGACTCTATACATTATAATTAAGAAGTAACTTATTAGTTTGAGCGTACAACCTTTGTATAGACAAATTATTTGAGATGAACAGGCTTATATTTTGGGTTTTGCTCAAATAATAATTACTTTTCTACATTCATCAGCTATCATTCTTTTTATATATTTTTAAGCATCATAAAGACAATAAAAATCCGTGTTTTTCACTTACTATTGGCTTAGTTGAGCTCATGTTTTTCACTTAACCTTTTTTCTATTGCATGCTCAGTTGTAGGTGAAGCATTAATTTTAAACTTGGTGCTTGTTTTATAAGATATTTCTGGTTTAGATTAGAGTTTTATGCACTTAATCTCTAGACTCAATTTTTTTTATTGATCCTATAATCTATACGCAAATTTCGGATCTCCATAACCTAGAAAAAGCTAGAGTGTCATTGTCATAAGTTATTATATTTGTTTTTTAGGTACATGAACAACTAAACACCTTCAAGTGAGAATATTATACTTATTTTCTATCTAAACTCTCTCAAGAATGTCATATTTCAAAAGAGCTTATAAAAATTGATTCAACAGGTACATGTAGCAAGTAAAGATTTACAATAAAATGCTTAGGTAGATTAACTATCTTGAGCATACATTTAACATTCTTAATGATGATTTAAAAATATTTATAGTCACATTATTCTGTTATGGGATGCTATGAACTACTTCTCGTGTCTGATGCCATATTTTGGATTACTAGTTTCAAACTCTTCTACTATGACATGAAATTTTTTAAAATACTATGCAACTTGATCTTTTTAAAAAAATAAAAAATAAAAGATTATATATTCGGTGAAACAACATCAATAAAAGTCAAAAGGATTCTATTAC